TTGATCTGGTTTCTCCAGTGTTCATGCCATGAAGCGTGGCACCAACATCAGGAACAATGCAAATGGTTCTGCCAGTCATGGTGATGTGACAAAATAGTCACAAACAACATTGCAACAAAACAGTAATCACATCCGAACAGTCATGGAAGTTTTGTTATATGGTATGTTTGTTAACTTTTTGTCAGTATCCAATCGAAAGTACATGGTATATGTAGCTGAACCATAGTTGTACCTTGAAGTACTGATCATGTAGTTGTATGTCTGAAACAGAAAATAAACGCTATGTTGGTGATATTTTTGTGTTTTTTCTATTTTATGCAGATTTTTGTGCTTTTACACAATTTTACGCAATTTTACGCATTTTTACGCATTTTTACGCTGTTTTACATGTCCTTACATAACTAGGTAAAACGTGTTTTGGGAAGGGAAAAAACATGCCATGTTCAGGGCATAACCACTGTGCACCAAGTTTGATGCTCGAGCGGCCACATTGTCACGGGTTCACACATGCTTGCACGTAAACCGTTAAGAGGTAAGTATGTGTCGCACATGATTTGAGGGTTGAGGGTAAGGGTTGGAGGTTAATAGTGAAGGGTTATGCGGTAAGGGTGAAGGGTTTAGGGTTGTGGGTTAAGGGTCGGAACATGTTTGCATCCTATGTTCACACATTTATACAGTTTTACGGGTTGAGGGTAAGGGTTAAAAGTTAATAGTGAAGGGTTATGCGGTGAGGGTGAAGGGTTTAGGGTTGTGGGTTAAGGGCCGGAACATGTTTGTATCCTACGTTCTTTGGGTTAAGGACACTTTTTGATGATGTAGTCACCTTTGCAACGGGGGGTCGGCCCCCCCCGCGGGAGCGCTCGCGAATTTTTTTTTGGGGGTTTAGGGTTGTTGGTTTTGGATGGTGGGTTAAGGACACTTTTGATGATGTAGTCACCTTTGCAATGGGGGGTCGGCCCCCCCCCGCGGGAGCGCTCGCGGATTTTTTTTTTTAGGGTTTAGGGTTGTTGGTTCTGGATGGTGGGTTAAGGACACTTTGGATGATGTAGTCACCTTTGCAATGGGGGGTCGGCCCCCCCCCGCGGGAGCGCTCGCGATTTTTTTTTTTTAGGGTTTAGGGTTGTTGGTTCTGGATGGTGGGTTAAGGACACTTTAATGTGTTAGGCACTAAGTTAAGGACAATTTTTTTACTTTTACACATTTTTACTTTTTTAACACATTTTTACGTTTTTTTACACGCAACACCATGGTGGTTAAGGACACTTTTTGAACCCGTGTTCGTACTTTTACACATTTTTACGTTTTTTTTACACATTTTTACGTTTTTTTACACGCGACATCATGGTGGATGGTGTAGGTGCTTGTTTGGGATGTTGGGTTAAGGACACTTTTTCACTCGACATCATGTAGGTATGTGGTTTTGGATGTTGGGTTAAGGACACTTTTGATGATGTACTCACTTTTTGTTTGGGGGGGTTTAGGGTTGTTGGTTTTGGAAGTTGGGTTAAGGACACTTTTTGATGATGTAGTCACCTTTGCAATGGGGGGTCGGCCCCCCCCCGCGGGAGCGCTCGCGATTTTTTTTTTTTAGGGTTTAGGGTTGTTGGTTCTGGATGGTGGGTTAAGGACACTTTAATGTGTTATGCACTAAGTTAAGGACAATTTTTTTACGTTTACACATTTTTACGTTTTTTTTTGCACATTTTTACGTTTTTTTACACGCGACACCATGGTGGTTAAGGACACTTTTTGAACCCGTGTTCGTACTTTTACACATTTTTACGTTTTTTTACACACATTTTTACGTTTTTTTACACGCGACATCATGATGGATGGTGTAGGTGCTTGTTTGGGATGTTGGGTTAAGGACACTTTTTCACTCGAGAACATGTAGGTAGGTGGTCTTGGATGTTGGGTTAAGGACACTTTTTGAACCCGTGTTCGCACTTTTACGCATTTTTACGTTTTTTTACACATTTTTACGTTTTTTTACACGCGACAATGTTGGGTTAAGGACACTTTTTCACTCGACAACATGTAGGTACATGGCTTGGGATGTTGGGTTAAGGACACTTTTTGAAACTGTGTTCGTACTTTTACGCATTTTTACGTTTTTTTTACACATTTTTACGTTTTTTTACACACGACATCATGAAGGATGTTGTAGGTTCTTGTTTGGGATGTTGGGTTAAGGACACTTTTGTTTTGTTTACACGCGACATCATGATGGATGTTGTAGGTTCTTGTGTTTGGATGCTGGGTTAAGGATACTTTTTGAAACTGTTTTTACACGCAACATGGATGTTGGGTTAGGGACACTTTTCACACACATGTAATTTTACATATACATATACATATACATATGCAAGATTCCTGACTGTTTCTCACTACAATGCAAGCATGACTAGAATCGCCGAACACCAGAGCAAGCGAGCATGGGCTATTTTCCCCCATGCTTTGCCAGCTACCCATATCAACAACCTGCCAGCTGGAAGTTAACGTCGTAGCAGTTCTTCACCAGTCATGAGGCCTTGGATGAGTGCTGCACTTCTGGCTTTAACAATGGAATCATACAAGCACATGAAGGAAGCAATACCGAACCAAGTAGCCAGCAAGCAGGAAGCGACAACTGAGGCGAATATCGGAGATATTCCACAACATCATGAAGCATACAATCGTCCCAAAGGTCGATGGGCTGTTCGAATAATGCTCGGATTTCTGCCTCCTGCCAAATTGCAATTAGTATTCAAACTTCACAATATAAATATAATGCAAAGCACATGCATGGACCCTTAAACACACACATGCACATACACACACTATTGTAAAACGGCTCTAGCTCCTCATCGTATGGTTCACCAATGCGCTCGAACATGTCAGGTAGCGGATGCATGGCACATCCACTGCATGGCACATTGTCCCCAGTGCCATGTTCCTTCGGGATGAGACACACAGCTGGGTAAGCGCCAGGCAAATCGCATACACACCAAACAAACAATTGTGGCGATGTCATATAGACATGGAAATTGTTGCACCGAGGGACGCATTTGGATTCCCATGCCGTGGCAATTGCATCCCCAAAAAGAGGTGTATATGCCTGTGTCGACTTTAACGCCGAACGGGCTCCAGTCATCCGAAGGTTGCCATTTGCATCTCTCTTCTTTGTCACCAGCTGCTTGTCAATCTCATCAATCCGCTGTTGGTCCTGAATTTCGATGACAAGACAAGACAGCTACATGGAAAAAAAACATAAACTAGCATCCAGTGCCCTTGACAAAGAAGAAAATTCTTCGTCATGCCAGTCTTCTAGAATATATTGGATAGGTGACTTCCACTTCCTGTTGAACACAATTCAAGCCTTGTCCTGGCAGCTGAGCGTTTTCTTGAGATTGGAAAACCTCGTGTGGGTCGAATAAAGACCAGTAGGCTTCTTGGTCTCAGCTGCGTATGCACCTTGTACACACCTACCCTTGTACACCGTGAACCTTTGCAAAAGTTCCTGCCACCTTTGAAGTGCGATGAGTCCACGTTTGTGGTCAGGCTGCTCAACCACTGGTACCTGTCCCAGGCATATGCTAATCCACACCAGACACGCAGTGCGAGCAGCAATCAAGTTCGCTGTCCTGGTCGAAGGCTGAGAACGATTTCCATGAGGAAGTAACCAGCCGTGACGACCACTGGTGCCCAGGTTCAAAAAACAAAATGAACTACCTCAGGCCACGAAGTATGATTGGAAGCATATGGTTTGTGATTGCCGTAGCAAGCAGTAAGCCAATATTCTCACTGCAAGAACATTTCAACTTAACATTAATGGCAGCTAAGTGTCAAATTGGTGCAAAAAATGCCAGTCCAAGAGCTCGGACCCGTCGGACGATGAGGATACATGCCCTGAGATGACAGGACACCAATTCAGCAATTTGCTCCAGTGCACCAACCGGATTTCAATAACTCACCGACATCTATTGCCATCTGAGGGGCAAGAAACCAGCAGAGGACGTGATATCGAAGCATTGCCCCATTTCTATGTCAGCAGAAGCCACCACGAAGTTTCTCGCACGTAGGGCTGCTGTGACAGCTCCCATGCCTGAAAATATCTCGCAACCGTCAATGTCCCCAACGGAGCACTTTGCCTGAGATCGATATAACGCAACAATGGCAACACAGCAACACATTGTATTACAAATATATAAAGGAACACTTTCATCCGGAAAACCAGCTATTCAGCCATGAAGCCACATTGTCCATGTACGCTAGCAATGCCAATATTTCAATAAGACATCGAGGCAAGCCGAACTTCAACATGGCTCGGACTTTGGGTCTGGTACCATTGGACATATTGCCAACAGACCTTCACAAAGGAAAACAACATAAACATGCTCTGACATACCTAGCCGGCGTCGATCCTAGATCTGCGTGTTGCTTATGCAGTGAACATCAGTGAACCCCCTTAAGGCTCAAAATGGCCTCGATGATTCAGCCATATTTGTCGCACTGAATGGGCAACACAGTCAAACACAAAGTGGCAGACAGCTGCATCACATGTACAAGCAGGGCCAAGGGGGGTAGCATGCCTTGTGATGCCAAAGGAAACCTCAGCTGCACTTATTGAATTTTTGACGCACTATATAGCCACTTCAAATAATGCTTATGTTGACCTGGGTCTGCAGCGGTGTCACAACAAGGTATCTCCAAAACCAGATTGCCTCCAGTACATGACATTCAAAACCACTGGATTCAAAGCAACCCAAACGCACATCAACACCGTGATTGCAAAGAATGCACCTGACGCTCAAACGCTATGGTCCTGCCAGAGAAGGAAAACATGAAATATCATTAAACGCGATGCCAAAACCAAAAGCACTAAATGCTATTGTCACACAAGCACATGAAGCACACTTTTGACTCGCTGCTGCCATCGGGTCTCAATTAAGTTTGGCATCTATACATTCAATGTAGTGTCTGATGACACTAGTCAAAATTTAAATCTAAAACGCCATGCTCTAGACACGCACAGGCGTAGGAATTGGCCGCTGTCGCGGAGGGATCTTTCTGGGTGGCGTCAATGCTCTGGCTGGCACGACCCGTGCCTTCTTCAACGGAGGCGGTGGCATGAGATGTGCCTTCTTCCACGGAGGCGATGGCGGTGTCTGGATCATGTCGCATGCTTTCCGCTTGTCGTCATCACAAGAGGCCATCTGTTTGAGTGCAGCATGCTGCGGCTTGCCCACCTCAGTTGACTGGGCCAGCTTCTTGCCACAAGCTCGCTGCTTTCTCATTCCAGCCGGCGCATTCTGCAGCTTGCACATTCTGGGCTCCATGGCTGCTTGGCTCTTCTCCTTGCCAGAATCCTTCTCGAAGACCGTCTGGTTGGTATCCTTCTCCTTCTCTTTCACAGCCTTTTCTGTCGCCTTGGTTGGCATCTGTTTGCACACACTGGGATCTTTGGCTGTTTCATTCTCTGGGAGATTCCTGCCAGAGTCCATCTGCCTGCCAGCTCCAGGCTTGCTGTTGCCCTTCCCCTTCAGCTCCTTTGCATTCTCTGTGGCCTTGGTTGCCATTTGTCCTCCTTCTTCTGCATCCATGTTCGATGGCCTCTTATTGTTGTTCTCATCTTCACATTGTATGACCGCGTCAACCCCCCATGGCTGCCATTTCATGTTGTCCTCTAGATGTGGCGATTCCATGTGATCCAAGGGGTAGTACCGGTACCCCAGCTGAATTCCAGCAAAGTATTCCAGCAGCTCCTGGTTGACACGCATCTTCCCCAGCTCTTGTTCGTATTCCTCTATGATCTTCGTGAGAAAGGCACACTCGGACATCACGTTGTAGAGCTCTACTTGAGCTCCTGGGTTCAGTTTTGTGATATGACATGACATCGAAGCAATGTGGTAGGGTTGGAGAATGGCAGCAGTACTTGGTGACACACACACACACCCCAGTGGATCATAATATTAACTATATAACTGAAATGCAGGTGTTTGAAGTATAAAAATAGAATATTGGAAAAACATAGATGACACACACCAAAAATGATCAAGGAACCCTCCAGGTCTTGGATCAGGGCACCCATCGCGATCATGAGCCTCTTGGCTTCGGCCCAACCCATTTCCTTGAACTCCACATCGGTCATTCCGGATTCATTCTCCCTTTCCTGCCGTGTGGCATCCAAGGGTGGCTCAATGGGCTCACGACTCCTTTTCAACAGGTGGTCGTTGATCCACTGCCTGACTTTGTCCCTCCGTTGTTCGATGCGGTCCATCACGGTGTGGGTCAGCTCAAACCTCTGGAGACCCTGGGGATATTCACTGCGCTCAGTCGTCTTGGAATCCTTGCAAACTGCCACCTCAGGGATCTTATGGGTCATCTTGGAATCCTTGGAATCTATCATTCCAGGAAGATTTGGATCGGCCAACGCAAGCTTCTTGCGCCAGAAAACTACAGTTTGTATAGAATGGTACATGCGTAAGGCATGATCCACTCAAAAGTGCAAGCATGCTTGTCTTGATCATGTCAGAATTCAACAAATTATGCAAACAAACTCATGTCTGCAACACAGTCCTTCGCCATCGCCTGGCCAAGCTATAGCCACCTCATCTTCAAGCCACCTGACATTCACTATGAAGAACCATGCTGCATATAAACATATGACACAGAAAATATCAGCTGAATGAGCCTTCTTTAAAAGTCATTGAGCAACTCACATCACACCGACCACGATGTTACCTGGCAAGAAGTGGCAAATCAAGGCCGAGGCCGCCGTCAAGTTGACGATGGTCTTGGCCTTGATGTGCAACTTTCATGAAAGGAGTTGCCAAGTCGCCAACTGCATGTTGCACCTGGGAGACAGTAATCAATGGCAAGTTTTGATTCAGCCCACCTGGCCCAACTCCTCGATACTGTTAAGCCCAGCACATTAGGTGGTAAGCCCTGCAATGGTCCATGGTCCATCCTTGAGTCAATGGCTGTCAATCTCAGATCCCAAATGCTGAAATCTAAATGATTCCGGCATAGCTGTGGCATGACCCAAAACAAATCATGCCCAAAAGCGTCAAAAAAAAAATAATGGGTTCGAAACTGGTGCGTACAACACATTGTCCTATCGCATTCGAACAAAGCATCATTGTATTCGAGCTTGCTGTTTGGAGAACAAGGGCATCGACGGAAATAAAACATAATCGATATATACAACAAATCAAAGGAAACATTCCAAAGGCATATTCATCTGCAGAACTGTTCTTGCCCAGGACACGTCGATGATAGGTTTCAGGCAGATAAGGACAAGGCAGCCTGGATCCATGCTGGGTCTCGAACCTCAGCATATGGCAGATGGAAAGCAAAAGGGTCGAAGGGTCGCTATCAATTATAGCTTGTATAGCAAGGCAGCAAGGCCATCTGGACAATGACTGGGCTTAACGACAGGAAGAAAACACGATCGTTCAAGAGGCATGGACCTGCGTCGGGCAGCACGCTACTGCAACAAGAAATGCAATGCTTAGATTGAGCAAGCAGGCAGTGCATTCTGAAACTGAACACTGTTTCTTCTCACTCCCGAAGTCAAAGTCGATTGTGGCATTTCCACAATCCAGGCCACGCGCTCCTTCTATGTCTGTCAGCCTGGATCAAAGAAACATCCATGGACAAACAGCAAGATTTCAATTGAAAGGGGTCCTGGCCTGCTTCATTAAGGAAGCCTTTTTGGAGTAGCCCTGCATGCAGGACGCTTTTCACCCCGGAACCCGTTCAAGGGGAATTTGTTTAAACTCTGGAACCTGCTGTCGATCTCTAAGGCTAAGGCCTTGACAGCTAGAATCTTCGTTTTATCTTTTCTTTTTCCGGCAAGTCATGGATGATGGCCCTGGGGCTGCAACTTCTCACGATGCCATCACATCACAGTCACAAGCATTTGTATACTGGGATCCTGGCAATCGCACTCGTGATGTCTTCCAGTGTGCCACTGCTTCCTGCCAAACGTTTCTGAACAACGGCAATATATCGAATGAAGTCAATAGAAACGTACAATATTTGAAGATTCTATATTGCACTTGAGGGATTCAATCATGCATAAACCCATGCACACCACAGATTGCACAGTCCAATGGTGAAGATTGGCGCCTGGTGCCGGATTCCAAGCTCTTTCGCCTTCTGAAGGTAAGTCTTGTACGCTTGGGCCAGCAGGCCTGGTTTGTACGTTCCTGGTACCTCCCACATGCAGGTGCTTCAATTTTTTGGTAAAATCATGGGACATTCACTGTCGTCATGTAGTTCACGCAGAAATTGTAAAAACCAGGCCTCGCCAGGCCTCAGCTGTTGAAACAGCCCCTTCATACTAATCTAAACCAAATGGTCTGTTTAAAATGTCAGCAAACCTTTCTGCGATGGCATATGCGAGGCTGTGCTGAGTCTGGAGCTGATTACCTGGAGATTCTGCATCCTGCATGTCGAATCCCAACGGTGGCAATGCATGGGACAGGATTAAAAAACACATGCAAACACCAAAGAATTCGGGGCCTGAGCATCTTGTTCAGGCCTCAGGTCAAATTGCTATTCATGTTGTGCACAGTGGTGACATGTGCCGTGCATAGTGGCAGAACACATGAGAGCCGGACGCACCAGCTCCATTTGAAGCATTTTCCTGCTCTACCCAGTGTCCAAACAAACTTTGAAGATTGAAGATCTTAAGTACATGGTAAATTGTGGCCACTAATACGTCCTCAGCTGCATTGCTGGATGATGCTTCGGCTTTGCCGTCCTGACATGCATGGTGAATCAAAACATGTTGCATATACATCCTGCACAGTGACTGAAACAATTTTGATGGCAGAGAAATATATAATATATATATATACATATACAAATGCTGATATCAACATGCATATTGAATGCTTTGGGATTCAACGTGTCTGTCCTGGTGGTCTGTGTTGACTGCTTCACATTTCATCAAAGCTGCTATAGGGATGTGGTCCTGACGAGCACCATGATTAAATCGACCGGATCAACTCAAAGACCCTCAGTTGCAACACAGCATAAATTGATCTGAGCACACGCTGAGCGGCGACACATTGGCGACACATGCAGGCTGCATCTTTTGGGCCATGCAGATATTGTCAACAGTATATATTGATTTGAAAAAGCAGCCGGTCTATCATCGTTGCTAGCGTACCGGTCGGCTGAGATTAAGCTATTCTATAGCAGCTCACCTAGGTCAGCTGCAGGAGATGTAGAAGGGGATCTCGAAGAACTCGAACAAGGTTGCCAAACCCGATGAAGTGGCTCGCCCTTGCCCTTCTGCATGAGGGTCCAATAGCCACGACCACGTGCAAGACCTTTTGCTTTCCCCTTCCATGAACGCTCATCACGCGGATCCATTGTCACCACCAAATCATCATCATGATCATGCCTACCCGAAGGGCGCCAAAGGCGCGCTTCCTGATCTGAAGATGTAGAGCTTGGCCATGCCGATCTTGGAGCCAGCACAGGGCTACGGGAGCGATCTGCTGGAGCACGAGATTCCCCCGGGAGGTTGGCCGACTTGTCTGGGTCTGATGTCGGCGGCCATGGACGTGGTGCACCTTCAGCATGTTCCATAGTTGCCCTTGTCCTCGCATATCCTGTCTGTCCCACTTCTTGCACAGGCTCCACTGTTGGGGGCTGACTTGATGGCATCCCAGTCGTAACGTCATCTTCCGTAGGATGATTCGCAGCATCTGCAGCAGGTTCTTTTTTCATCGTCAATTCCAAGCTGTAATCGACTCCTGGAATTCCCGGACGCACCAGCCGCAAAGGATATAGCGGCCACCACAGTGGATTCATCTCAGACGGTTTGCTGTAATGATCATGTGCCAACTATTAAACAACTGGGTGATCCAACACTTGACCCAAAAAGGCACGTCATGTCAACTGAGTCAAGTGTGTTCCCATGGTCTTTGTTTGTTTTGTGTTGGTTGTTGTTTGCCACATGTTGGCAACAAATAATGTAGCCCCCTAAAAACTGCACAAGGTAAAACATGACACCAGCAGTCAGCTTTGAAAGTGCAAACACAAAACAAACAAAGATATCACAGACCACAGCATTTTGGGTTCATGGCCAGTCAATACTTCCAAACGGTTGCAAAAGACCGTATTGCAGTCCTCGTCACTGGCCACAGAACCACATTGATGCACACTGGTTCCACGGTCCTGCGCGAAGTTGCCCAACCAAAGAAACATACCCACTAAACAACTCAGCAGAAATTGACACCAAACATCCTGACACCACTTTTAAGTAATGATGCACGTGCAAAAAGCATGCACGTGGATCGTTGGTTGTCTGGAATTGGTCCCTTGGACATGCAAATGCACATGGATTGCACATTTGGTGAAAGATTTTCAAAGCGAGCTTGGACATGGAATCACAAGCAGCACCTCGACTGCCGCAGGTCCCTTGGCAGGTTCTTCCTTCGTATGTGGCCACGCCAAGTGGTCAACACAAATCTGAACACTGTCATCCATGCAAAACATGTGAACATGGAGAAAAAAGGCAAACTGATTGCATCGGACTGTATTAAAAAGGGGTTAAATAAGAGCCCACATTAGCAGAGCTCGCGGCCTCAGCGCTTGCTCTGTCTTCCATCGCCACATCTGGCTTATTGGCTGGTTCCTGGCAACAATGGCCCAGTCTGGAAAATACAAGGAATAGCTGAGACAAGTCGGAAATATGACAGCTATACGATGTGAAGATTGGCAGTCCTTGCTGACCTCTTGCAGTGCCACTGGACCACCTGCTTGCAGTGGGCGTGGTGCAGCTTGCAAAGATTGTGGACCATCCTCATATAGGAATTCTGTGGCCGTAAACTGAACCATTCTGATACTTGAAACAGAATTTCAGAGTAAATGCCATATGTGAGATCCAAGGCCGCACCTGGTGCATGTGCTGCAGGCACCTGTCAGACAAAACATTTTTCCAAAACATTTTTCACCGCAAACGGTCATTGGATCAACAGATTGATTATGGTCGCAGGTGACAATTCAAAACACGCTGCACACCAAGTATTAATGGTGTCCTCGCCATCGGCTTGCGCATGCTCTGCTGGTGCCTGGCAGGTCAATCAACAAAAATGACTGAATGTTAAGGATCCTTGCGCGAACCTTCTAATCAATGCACTTGAACTCAACGAGACATGTCCAAAATTCTCTCTGTATTTGTTGTTTGCTGCTTGCAACTCACGTGACACAGTGCACACTCGCACTGACGCATTATTTTCACATGCGGGAATTGTCGCATTGGTCACTCTGCTTAATGTGGCGAAGAAAAAGTGTCATCAATATTGATGCACTAGCCTGGAAATCCCAGATGGAATAAATGGGGATTGGAAACTTCATACCGCC